TAACGCTCCAGAGCACATCCATAAGATTATTTATTCGCAAAATTGACGAAGAAAAGGGAAATTTGACAGCTCCGTGTTACGCCACTATTAACGGGGAAGTACGAAGAAAGCCATGCACGGACCCTCAGTCGGTGGGAGATGTGAAGTTACAGTGCGCTCAGGATGGTATTATGCGTTTCCGAAACCACGTTCCTTAGCAAGCGAAGCCGTAGCTCAGGTCGATCAACTGAGACAAATGCGCACGGATGTCTAAGGATGCAACGTCGGTTCACTTCCTGTACAGGTGGCGGTGTTCGACGATTATGCGGAGCGTGTATATTTGATCCACACACCTACAGTCAGTATGGAAGTCACCTGGTTCGTCTCAGCATTGCGATTTACGTATCGGTAATAGTCTGCGAAGCACTATGAATATCACCAGCTGGGAGGTGACCTAAATGATACTGATTCCCCAGCGGTTGGCGCATGAAGTAAGAACACCCTTCATAATAATCAGGACGACAACTGATTCGCCGTAGGAAACGGGACCTTTGGATCAATCAGGACTTTGAAAAACCATGAGGTTAGCTGGTTGATGATAACTGTGCGTCCATAGTGTGAGGGTGACTGAGACTGAGCTTGTATTTAAGAGCAAGTAGCAACGTTTCTGTACAACTCTATCGAATTATGGATAATCGAGGCATTTATTTACGGATTGTTGGCGACAGTGTTTGGTCAATTAATCGTTTATCCTTGTTCGGTTAGTTTGTATTAGTGTCCTTATACCCAGGTATTGTATGCATTTGGTTGCATTGTTTTTGCACCGTTTCACAAAAGCACATGATTCCGAAACGATCGTCGACACATGTTTTATAACGCTTCACAGAATCGTCCTTCATTAGTCCTTCTGGTACTGTATTCCATACTTTTACGATCCTTCGATCTATACCAAGTTTATTGATACCCCTTATCATGCACAGGACTCTTAGCTTGCAGCGGTGTCCTCGTGTGTTACAGGGTTCCCGCAGGTGAAATATTGGCCGCAGTATGGGGAAGTGATTCAAGTGTAATATTCGATGAATCATTATACTGTGGATTCTTACCCGGCGATAAGACAGTGTGTAGTGTCCGAGCATTTCACAACATATTCAATACGGACGTATTCGTAGACTGGGAATAGTTCTAGTTGTGTATTTTCTCCAATCTTTCCATTTTCTACCGGGTTATCCGATGGTCAGCTGGAGTGCCGTATTCGTGGAGTGGTCTGATGAGCGAAGTGAATAGACGAGGGACGGTTTCTTTAGACCATGTGAAGAAACTGCTTCGCAATGCCCAGAGCATACGAACTCACACATGGTACAATTTCTCTGTATTTGCTAATCGTCTCATATGATGTCGCGAGAGCACTGCTAAGTCTGTGACGAGTGACTGCTCGTCTGGTATCTTTGATGAACTCCGACTTGCTCTCATTAAGACGGTGTTGCATCTCAGTGGACCACGTCGACAGTCGATCTAAGTTATGATAGAGGCGAGCGCATTCATCCTGGTTCTCAGTGATCCGGCAGGTTTTTACATTAACGCAAACAGCGCACATGTTGATTGAAGCTGCTGCGGGAGATATTTGCTATGAATAAGAAATAATACTGGCCCAAGTATAGTTTGCTGAGGCACGCCAGTGGTCGACGGGAGCCGGTATGTCAGGTAGTCATTAACCTGTACGCTCCACTGCCGCCCCAAAATAAACAGTTGAAACCGCTGAATTAACGGGCCACCGATCCCGAAGGTCATCAATTTACGAGGGAGTACCTCGTGGTTCAGTCTGCCGATTGACTTACTAAAGTCAATTTACACCGCAACCACATCCTTCCTTCCTTTGAGATCTCGTACACACTGGTGATTTGCGTCCCTTAAGTTAGTGATGCAGCATCGCTCTTTCATGAAGCAATGTTGCGCTGCGTCCATAAGTCGATCTATTTGAAGCTACACAGCGGACAGTTTTTCACAGCCTCGAGAACTTTGGACAATATCAAAGTGAAACTAGTCATTAGTGATATCAAACACATCGGTCTGTATTTCGCTAACTTACCCGGATAACCAGCAATGGGAAGCGGTCTCACTCTCGTGCATTTGCAGTCGTTGGGGACAGATCCTTTAGTGATTCATTGTATAGGTTTGTCACCGCTGGTGCGATGAAAATCGAAACGGACTTAAGTATTAGTGAGTAAGTCCGTCTGCTCCTGGGATGTGTGTACCATCGAGGTTGACGTGTAGCTGTTACACTTCAACTGCATCACAATGTTGGCTGTCGAGCAAAACTGACTCAAACTCTGCCGGTATTGGAACTGCCGCGGGATTACTGGAAAGTACGGTGCGGATATGCGAAGCCAAGGCGACCGCGTGTTCCGCGCATGAAATGCGCGACTGTCCGTCCAAGCTCACTGGGATCGGTAGGTCCCGCGCAGGTTTCATTTGACTATTCAATTAGGTAATTATTCGCTTGGGGATAATTGTTGTCGAGGCTGTTAGTCCTCTTCGAACTGCAGGCGTTTCGTTATTTTTACGGCGTTACCTATGTTATGCTGTTTCTTGTACACTGTGTCATCTTCATCATAAACCGAGAAGATATACCTATTCCAAATTTTGCAATGACGTCGCGCTAACTCTTTATATTGCTTATCAAACGAATGCGGCTTGATAGGTCCGACTTTTGAATACTTCTGGAGAACGAACCTAATATACAGCGAGTTAAGCACTCCATTTATTAATCACCAACTACCTTCAAGCGACGCATCCTGTGGTAGCCTCCACTCAGTCTGACTCTCGGTTGTGTCTAGCACCTTGAAGTCCATCATCGGAACTCTCTCTTCATCTATTATCTGCGCAGCTCTTAGCGAGCGCATTGTGACCGCCGAGATGAATTTCGTATGATACTAGACGACCGTGCCTTGAGATCCGCAGCAAAAACAATAATACCGGATTTGCAGGCTGTGCTCAAGAATTGATGAAGTTGGTGATAAAATTCCTCCTTGACCGTGTCGTAATTTGAACAATGAACAATGATTTATCCCGGGTCAAAATGCATGTGCTTGACAAGTCCAGTAGGATGGTTGGAGTAAAAATTACAATTTGTAGGATCGTCGCCTAATTAGATCATTATTCCAAGCGTCCACCGAGTTAAATGCGCTATTGCATAACAATAGTTTGAAGTGGAAATGGGATGTGTACACGCAAAATAGTACAGAGAGCTTTTATAGTTAAGTAAGTGCGTGAGAAATAAAAATGGACACGACAACGCTCAGTTCTTTGTTTCTTCATTTGACAGATGTGGTAGGTTAATCCAGTTTGGCTACATCCAGGCTGATCACATGGACACATCTGCATTTATCCTCACCGACACGTTGCGGAGAGGGATGTTAAGCACATGGCTAGATTTGGATTATTTCGTCCTCCAAGTGGAACGAACTATATCAAGTAATGCAAGCTTGGAAGCGTTTCGTCAATGGGTTTTATGAAAGACATTAATGTAAGGGCAAGGATAACGTGAGTAGGAAGGGCATTCCAGGCAAGGGACACACGGAGGGAGAAAACGTCTCGTTTCGTTTGCCGGATGACTACGCATATGCCCTCTCAAAATCGCTCTGTAATGCAATGTGATCCTCCGATTTCCTGATACCATGCCAAATTTTAATATTATCCGCAAATAGTAGGAAATTCGACTGCAGTACATTGTCATGATCGTTAATGAATATGAGGAATAAACGTGGCGTGTGATGAAATAACGTGGTCAGTGTGGTATAAACGAGCTCGTGTATGCATTTGTAGCGTAAGCTGAGAGAACAGACAAATTGTGTCACCTCTCACGTCATATGTTTATCCTACATGATCTCTCAAGCCGAACTGCACACAGTTGGCTATTAATCGGGTAGCAGCACAGCAGTGCGACCTCGGCCTTGCTGTCTAGCGCTGCACCAACGCCAGCGAAGTCTGCAGCTAGACGTAGGTGAACAGTGGATCTGTGGTCAGTGGGAGATCTCAACTCAATTACATTATTGGTGTCTTGAAGGCATATTTCGGAAATGCAGGAAACATCGATGCCGACTGATTCCATGGTGGCCGCTTGACCAGTCCGCATTTCGGTCTGCTTGTGTGTAGGTACATTGAAGCGTGCCAGACGGAAGGTAGGCCGAGGCCAAGGGAGAGGCACCAGGCGAGCTCTGTGGGCGTCGACGAAAACATCTGGATTGGAATAAAGGATACATCAATCAGTTGGTGACTGATAAGTTTATCAACAAAACCTGAACAGGTGGTGAGTGATGGTGAATGAGTAGTAGAAACAAAGGCAGCTAAGCGCTAGTTAGCAAATGAACAATGTATGGTTTCGGCAGCGGGCGTGATACTATCAGATTGTCCGAGACGAAGTAGGGAGATATCTTAGGAGAAACGACCCATTGCCTTCGGTTAAATAACGTGTCTGCAGGGCAGCGCTTCGTGTTTAAGGAATCGCGCTCATTGAGTTTGTGACTGAATCATCGGTCCCTAAGTCTTCTGTTCGATCGGCTACCGAAAAGTGGCCAAATACCCCCATGTTAGCAACACACTCGCTACAGTACAATACTCCACGTATATGAAGCATGGGGCAGAGGAAATGTTCAGTGGTGAGTCACATGCGCAATGTCACAGCGCTGTCAGATAGATATTTATGGCTTCAAACAGGAAGAAAGCATACAGAGAGTAAAACCCGTTCCTGCCCAGAAGAATGTCGCCGCCAAATTCGATGAAACAAGGCAAACTCAAATCACTCAACTGGTACAGCATGCAGGTGTCTCGGCATTCCAATCGTCTCAGAAATTGGTTTGCTATGTGTTACATGCCGTATATTCTTCGGAATATTGATGCATCAGTAGTTCTGGTTGCATGCCATATGAATGAGAACGCAGAACGAATGCGATGGATTTAGAGTAAAATACTAAGATTATGTATTGTAATGGTAGACAAATTTAGACAATGTTGGATCAATTTAAATGCCAGTTCTATCGCATCAACCTAATTATCCTCACATATATCCAAGTAAGTCTTGTTGTGCTTTACTGGATGTGAGTAGCCAGTATATAATTCGGGCCAGTCGGACCAAATGCATGCTGTCGTAACACGGCTATTCTCGTTCTCAGGCTACACACACCAGGGCAGTGTGAAGCAACTAAGAAATTGAAACGATTGGGAATATGTAGGCCGGATCTATAAAAATAACGTGCGCCTTCGCTTATGTGATGCGAGTTTGTGACACGCACAAGACAATTCTCCATTGCTTTGGCCAAATGAACGCATTCATGTGCCATACACGAAAAAAGCATATACTCCGCGAAACGCTATTCCATCATCACTTAAATTTCCAATTCCTGTTACGGTCAATAATTCTACCAAATTTGAACATCTCAGCGCCCACCATTGCCCATTATATTTTCGCATATCTTCCAATTCCATTTCCACTCAGCTACTGAAGACGTGGAAAGTTCGGAATCCACAACCGTCGATTCAGTCTCAGGTACGATTATACAGATTGAATTTTGCACCATTTTCAATTGTGAATGTAGGCTCCTGTATTGACTCAAGTGATGAGATCATCCCAGTTTGTTTCAGCTGAGCAACACAGTGGGCGTTGGTTTAGAAATTTTCATTTGATTGTGCGTGTACAACTGTAGCACAGATTAAGGAAATTGGGGGAAAGCCAATTTGGGGTCTGCTCGCAACCTTGTATCCATCGCATTCGCAATTCGATATGGATGATCCACTTGTGGCTGCTTTCAATGATGACGCATTAGAACGATGGATACCAATTTATGTATTCTCCTTCGCTTGATTTGCAGTCAAATAATGTGTGCGCGCCACTCTTCGTGATGGACAGGTGTCGTATATTTCCGTGCTCTAATCATAAACTTACATCGGACATACTGGCTTTGATTTTGCGATCGTGTAGACGCAAATGTTTCAATAAGCCCATGGGCCTTGCAGAAAATTCAATGCAACATCACTTATTAGATTATTCATGAGCGGCATTTATCCAGTTTCTTCTCTTCTAATGCCATTTTTATCCACATAAACTCAGTGCCGTATCCATTCTTATGATATTGCTCCACGTTTTACACCGAATTCTATGTTATAATTCGCGGCACTACGGGTTTGCGGCACGCCCAACTTTAAGATTCTGCATAGGGATTACTGCAAGCCTTCAATTTTGATTGGTAGAATAGGGATTGTACTCGAGTTGACGGAATAGGCTGTGGGATTAGCGTGAACCTGGTTGGAACCACCAATCAGCATATTTAGTTAGTTAGCAAGGTGCTTGCCTACACCCGGTTTAGAATTTGAACCAGGAAACGTGAGACCGTGCAATTCGTGCAGCGTATGAAACATGCAAGTAGTAGTCTCAGCCAACCCTGCTGCAGCATTTTATAATAGCTGATGATAGAAACATATTTGAGTTTAAGTATATTCGACGTCGACTCTCAGTTCATAAGTGAGCATATTTGAATAGACGTATTACCACCTGCATTGACGCGCGTACCTTGTCATACCGGCCGCAATAATACTGAAGTAATGAAAGCAAATATCCGCTCAGGTTTTGAGAAGTCCTTATCGCACGCTGCGTTGCTGTGTTGCCTGCGTTGATCATCTGATTGATAGGGTTCAGAAAATAGACCTAATCAGATTGTAGAGCAAATGGTTGGCCCTAGTTCACCGATGTTATTGTGCAGCGCCGATGGACCTCTTACAATCCGATTTCCAGTATGTGCTTCTTTTGATATATTTTAAGCATTCAAGGTGAAAACAATATTAGGGAAGGCAATGTAGCGGAAAAGGTTGCATAAATCAATCACAAAGTGCTTTCGTACACCTCGTCCATGAAGTATCACTAACGTCGATAAATTTCCGCCAAGAGTGTTCGCTCACGGCTACAATTAAACAACGAACTGAATTCATTATCCGAGCATAGTGGCGTGATGCCGCCAATAGTCGAAGCCCAACTGTTGCTATAGGCTCTACTGCATTGTCGGACTCGTCGATCGGCCTTGGCCATTCGATACGCGATAACCGTTTCACTCCGCATTAGCAATTAACTGAAAACCAATAGCAATGACATTAATGTGTACGACCACGCGGATTTTTACCATGCACCATGTTGACTGATTTCACAATGAGGCACTTGTCACTGAGATGAAAGCTGTTGAGTGATTGTCTAAATGTTCTCAACATTGTAAATCTGAGTGGTAATGAAAGTTCCTAATTTGTCCCTGGAATTGCACCAAATAAAACCGCTTGTCATCCCTCACCTCTTAGTGATTTACTTAAATTTCAACGTTTTTCGCCGCAGATATGGAGGAGACAGAAAATTCGATAACAACCCCGACCACGACCACAAAACCAGTTTCAGGTATGTTCACACTAGCTCAATCATGTTATATCGTTCTTTTCAATGTACAAGGTTGATGGGTCTAATCTCTCGAATAC